TTGAGCCAATCTGAGTATGCTTCTTTTTTCAAGAGATCTCCATTTTTATCGGCATTCAATACATATTCATCTACAACCCTGCTGCATAATCCATGGAAATATTCTCTCTTTTTTGGATTTGCTACAAATATATTTTGGTAAGATCCCCTCTGATATTTGCTCTTCTATATCCTTTATGCCAAGAATCACTAAAAATGCAGCAACAATCCTTGCATGGACTTCAAGCAAAAAAAACTTCTTATTTGCATCAAAGCGCTTTGACACATCAGTGACAACATTTCGGCGGTTTATAAGAGTTCTATCACTAAAAATTGTGCACTTGTCCATCACTGATTTTGCATTATAGAATTGGTCATATCCAAACTGAAAATAAACGTGAACATACGTTTAGCAATGTGATGTAATCTGCAGTATTTCGTAAAGTGCGGGAGAATCTAGTTGTAAGTTTCTGTTTCTCCCTCTCCATATGGTATATATACATAGAATACTATAGGTATTATTTCTGTATCACTCTGGTTGTGTTTCATATTCTAGAAAAATTAAAACAAAGGGTTGTTGATCACATGATTCTGAGAGCACATGATTCGAATTGTAACATACAAAGAACACTGTGAGTTATTAGTTAGTAAAACAAAATTGATCGACTGGAAGGGCTACTTGAACTAAGGGCTACAAGGGAAGTAATAAGGGATATTGATACTGAGGATGGAAGTTCCTTTCTTTTAAAGTTCTCCCTTAAGTTCAACTGCTTTCAACTGAGCTTGCCTAAGTATATAGAAGAGCACCAGGTTCCAGGCATATAGAAGAGTGTAGAAATGAGTGAATAATTGCTGTAATTTGCTAAAATGTCTCCTGACATAATTACATTGGTTAATACATACTTGCAAGAACTTCATTCCTGCATGAAAATCTCCAACTTTCAAGTGTAAGCCATCAAGCCATTCAACTTCGTCAAAGCCATTACTCAACTGTAGCAAAACATTCACTCCTCTTTCAACAGTTCCTTGATCACCAACAATTGCAAGCGAACTGCATTTCCCATTATTGCAAGGGACATACTTTGAGTGAATTTCCTTCATTATTTCCTCCATCTCTGCTGATTCATTTGAGTTTGTATAAATCATTCCAACAAATTTCTAGAAGGGGAAAAGAAATCTTAAGAGATACTTCAGACAGTGTTCAAAACATAAAAAGAATAAGTTATGATGGATACAGTACCTGCATTGGGGCTAACAACAATAAGTTGACAGAGAACTTCTTTCTTTGATAGCTTATAAAGTAAAAGGGACAAAGCCAAATTAAAGATTGACAAACTTATGTTGCAATAACGAAAGGTGATATACATCAAAGACATCAAAATGGAAAGCCCTTGAAAATATGCTCGATGAAGATGGTCCATCTGACATCATTCTTTAGATGCCATATTTAATATCAAACAAGGTCAATCATTTACTGTTTTAACTAAATAGAATGTATTTTTAATCATTGACAATCATTACTGTATGTATGACACACAGCTTATGCCTGGCACGCAAACATGACAAGAATTCTTCACACACTGGTTTTGACCGATTGCAAAAATGAATCACAAGAATTTCACTAGAAATATTCTTGATATTTTATATTAAGTCTTTCTCAGAAAAATCATGTTGATTTTTTCAAGATCTGTATGGTAGAGCTCAACTTATAACAACTGTTTGCCATATTCCTATTTAGTATATATGTAATGGATTTTATCACTTACAGTGTCTGTTCCCCTTCTTGCCTGAGCAGAATATGCATGCTTTATATGATGAACAGCAACATCCTTAAACTTTTCAAGAGATTTGATACTGGCACAAGCAATCTTGCCACACAAATCAATATAATTCTCACGTTGCTTTTTGTGATTAGTGATATTTGGAAGCGCCATTAGATTTTCCATGTTGATAGTCCCAGTTTTCATTGGGCACTCAGTGGACAGACTATCAGCATGAATCCTGTTTTCAACTGCTGCCACTGACACCCGATGTTCATCATGATTCTGGTGACCCTCTGTCATGGAATAGTCCTTTGTTATTATGTCATGGAATAGTCCTTCAAATAAAAAATTGTCTACCACCACTTTTCTGTCCAAAGATGTTTTGAATGCTTGATCCTTAAGGAACGACTCGTGATTTTTGCCAATTCATCCAGTTTCTTGTAAAGAAAATGGTGTGAAACAACTAGGCGCAAAGCCTTTAATCTTCTTAGTCTGCTCTTCAAGGCAAAAACAAGAAAACTGCTAGCACATAAGCTTCCAATCTAGAGGCTATTACTGTATCATAAAAAGCATCTTTTACTGTTGTTTCAAGAGAAATTAAGAGGCCTTTTACAGTGTTTCATTTCATTAGAGAATTTTTAGGCAGTTTTCCCTATAATCTTAAATGTAATTTTCATCACTGTTTTGGTGCTGCACCCAAAGCATACCACTAAAATGAGATGGGCTGAAGAATCATTCTAAATATAAAACTTTAAAGGTCTAGAAGTTTAAAGTCTTTCAGTTTTCTAAACACAACAATTACCATATTTCCAGAGTGTTGCATAATTATGCTTATGAGCAACTGCAATATTGTCATTTTTGGTGATCTGTTTTTGAGGCAAACAGAGACTGCCATACAAACACATGAAGTCAGGTGGGAGCTTTCTGATGGGTTCTTCTTATGCCTTAGAGCAGCAGCTTGCAAAATGTGCCAAAAAAGTGGTGCCTCGTTTACCATTAATTCCTTCATTTTCTCAAACTGGAAACTGACAACATCCTTCTTGCTTGTACATCTGAAAATTTTTTTAGTTGCTTTTTTGTTGTTTCCCTCAGACCCTTTTCAACATAGAGCCCTGCATTCTTAGTGATTTCCTTAAGCATGAATCCAGTCAAGGCTCCGCGAATTCTGTCATGCCTCAAAGCAGCATTGGCCATCTGTTTGTACGTTCCATGAGACAGCATTTTTCCTAATGATGCCAAGTCATGGGGCAGCTTTCTCTTTTTCACTTTGCTTGTCCAATTCACTCTGACAGTAACTTGTGTCTGGCCACTTCCTCCAAAATTTATTGCTTTGACCGATTTTGACATTTTCCTTTGAGGGCCTCCTTGACCTTCATCAGAGCATGACTTGATAATATTTCGGGCAAGAAAATCACTGCCCAATGCTAATCTCTTATTTGGTGGGGGTGGGCAGTGTCCTGTTGGTGTACTGGAAAGGGCAGGGGCAAAACTCATTGTTGGAGGCACCGTCATGTCAATATCTGGTGAGGCAGAAAGCTTGGAGCGTAATTTTGTTTCCACATCCAAAATCTTATCCTTGAAGTTTTTTCTTCTGAGCAGAAGGTCCCGACAGACGTGAAAAACATATCGTGCATCCCTTGTCGAGTTCTCCACTTCGAAAGGCAGATCAAATTCCAGTCATGTTTCAGTGTCAGCTTTATGCTACAGATTGTGCAAAGTTCCTTCCTTGAAATTGTAGCCATATCTTTTTGGCATACTTCGCTTTGGCCAACTCCTTACACACAGCTAGTTCTGAGTTAACAGTAGATGCTGCACGCATGCTACTGCGTACAGGCTGATCTGAGCCTTTTTTGGTTTTTTGTTGCTATCGGATTCCTTATAATTTGTTTTAAGGGCATTTGCCTGAACTGCATTGTTGATGTTGTGGTATGGACAGAGTGGTGACTTAAGAGGGTTAGTCGTGGAGTGAAACCTATTCCCAACTAGATATAAATAAAAATATAAACTTGGAATCGATTCTACTACTTTGCAGATAACCGGGTTTTATTTATATGTGACCCTAGGCACGGTCAGTTGAAAGTAGAAAAGCAAAATGGCGATCATAGCAAATGCAATACCTAGATTTTTATGAATATAGTATACCAGAAATGGTTGCTAGGGAGCATTTGTGTTTATAGATTTCCACTGAAATTAATGTGAAATAAATCTTGAGGTTTTATTTTGCAGCCCGTTGAAGGTCTTTCTTGTTGGTTTTGCTTGATTGGGGACGTAATGGCTGAAACTGCAACTCCCTGCAAGAATGCCCTAAATAATACTAAGCCAGGCTGCTTTCAAAGCACAGTTTAAAAGCCTGGTTTCAAATGTCAGTCTAAATTTGACAAAAAGCTTTTTTCCTGGAGATGTCCCAATCTTCTTGCGCCACAAATTGATCACAGCTGGCCATCAGGTTATAGGAAGAATCCAAGAAGAAAGGTTTTCTAGCTTCTGTCTTATTTGACTCTAATTTTTTAAATATTTCAGTTTTAAATATATATAGAAATAGAAATATCCAACGAGCAACAGTTTTTTTCATTTCCAACTCTAAGGTAGTACTCGCCAGCTAAACCGCAAATTCTAAAAATAACGAAGTTCAGGTCTCGCTTTGTGACTGCCTCGAATCCATAAAACATATTGTATAAAATATCTTCGAGGTATTTAGTCTCATTTGCAGTTGGAAGCTGATTGAAAAGTATGAACATTGTTATTGTAAACTACCCAAAAATGTATGATTTAAACAGAATGATATTTCTAAAATCTTAGTGGTAGTTGAGGGCTGTTTTTGAAATAGCCTTGATGGGAGCTATTTTGTTATAAAGGGATTTTTTTCTTGAGTGTTTTCTTCTTGTTTGTTTATAATATTAATGAAAATAGCTATAGAGAAATTGTGTTCGAATAGAATAACGATAATAACATAAAAAATATCTCTTTATGACAATAAAAGCCTTAGTGCCGTCTTTACAGTAATGATAGAAAAGATCATAGAAAAGATGGAATTGTCGTAATTGCAATGAAAGATGGTTATCATCCATAATAGTAGGCCGATAAAAAGAAAGTTCACTGGCAATTAGAAAGCAGCAAGGAAAATGTTTCATTTCTTGCCTTTTTTATTTTGTGCGACAATGATCGCAGCTTTGCTTGAATAATATTTGTCAAAGGAAAACCTTATTTATAGTATTTTCTTCATTCCACGAAGATTTCAAGTGAGAGCAGCAATTTATTACTGACGTTGAAAAAACCTGTTGAAATAAAAAAGACAAGCTATAAACAATTGCAGAAAATGAGGGTCGAAAATATCGCTTTTGAGGTGTTTTCCAAAATAAGACAACAAATGGCGGCGCCAAGGGGGGTTTGGTGTGGGAAACCCCCCCTCCCCCCTCCCACTTTTTCAAAATATGGTTTACATATTTCTTCAATTAACGGATTAAAAAGCGCTAGGTAGGGGTAGATTGTATTTCCTAAGGAAAAATAGCCAATTATCATTGCAATTGTCAAATTTCAGTATTTCGTTTTCCATAGATTTGCAAAAGGACTATACTGAAATGCACTTGCTAACAAAATTATAACTTTTTCTGGCTCGGATTGTTCAATCATGAAGTTTCCTTGTTTTAAGATTCTGTACTGTACCTCCCAAAGATTATAGACCAAGCAGCAGCCCTTTTTAAAGCGTTTTTAAACTTGCTTGATATTCATTGTATTATGTGTTGGCTTATAACTGAGTTGTGATTCAAACTGGCATGAGGAAACTTTTCACAGCTACTCACAAGCTATGTACTGAGGCTCTGACGAAAAAATATGACATGCTTTAAAAATATACTGCTGATTCAGGAAAAATATTTAGAAATTGTTTCAATCCTGTCCAGATTTTCAGGGTCCATTATTGATCTAGGCAGAACACAATATGTTCTCTTTTCTCTGTCAAATGTCCATTTAGGTAGATGGTACTGTCATATACTGGTACTAATAGAATTACTTTGATCAATGTCTAATGTTTTTAATTCCCTTTGTTTTTGGTGATTGAAAATGCGAATAGTTCGAAATTTTAAGCTTATCCATCTTGAATGGAAATAGTGCATTTATTGCAGCACATTTTGCGTTGTTGCACTTTTTAACGTTGATGTTTACTGGGTATAGTGTGCGCTTGTTGCAGAAAATATACCCATTACCGTGGCCGTACTGCATCCTTGTGGGAAATTTGGGGGGTCCTAATGAACCACCACAAAGTGGCATGAAATTTCTTTTGGATAGAAACATTCAAATTTTCCAAATTCTGGCTGGATGTTGTCAGCAGCTGTAAAAGTTTGACTCCGAATGTTATAGGGCATTTAAAAAGACATTTGCAATTTCATTGTCGATATATAATCTAGTCTCTCGGTTTCCAGGTCATCTTCCCAAAAAATTTCGCTATATGAAGTAAATTCATCTTCAACTGAAGAATGAGCTTCAGCTACCCCTAACTGTGTATCATGACCTTCTTGCAGCTTTCTTGCCAGAAAAACAAGGTGCATGTGAATGCAAAATTTCAATCTTTTCACCTGGAATTACAATTTATCTTCTTATTTGATATTCTTATCTCATCACTGCCCCCTATCGATTGCCCTGGTTGTGATTTGGTTGTTTTGATGTTTCAAAAAGCAGATCGAATGGGAAAATTTTAGATCAAAATTTTCAAATGACAGGTTATTTGCCTTCAGAAAAAAATTGCCCTGTCAAAAATTGAAAATGTTGGGAACTTGCCTTTAGTTCCCGTGACACCAAAATAATTCTCAAGGCAAGTCACTTATGCCCTTGCTTATTGTGTCCACACGTTCACCGATGTTTTTGACTAACCTTTGGGAGATGAGCAAGAGAGTTTTTAGTGACCATTTCTATATGATCACTAGCATCCGACTTATTTCCTTACAGTAGATGTAAAATCACAATACACAAACATTTCTCAAGATGAGGATATCAAAGCATTCATCAATGCCATTAAAAATCATTAAGGGGAAACAGCTCAGCGGCATATAAAATGGTGATATTTTTTTCAAACATAATTTTATAACCTTTACACTCACTCTTTTATAAGAACACAAGCCCTTATATTGGTCAAAAGTGATAAAAAATTAAGAACATTTTAGCATGATCTACTGTAAAATGTAACTTTGAACACTGTTTCATCTAAAAAAGGAGAAGTGTTTTGCCATCTAGGGACCATTTTCTGTGAACTTTCAAACGCTGCCAGCCAATATAGGATGTCTTACTCATTTTGTTGGCAATTGAGGCTTGAAAACT